CAGAATGGACAAACCAAACATTGGCTCTAGAGAGAGCATTTGAGAGAGTTTTTTTCACTTCCTTGTATGTGGTTGATCCGGTTCTAGTTATATTGTAGGCCTACTTACTTTTAACTATATTCTTTTCAGAATAGTACTTTCTTATTATATAACATCATGCAAAGCCTGAGGAGAGACTCCGTTTTCTTCACGGATGTTTCTGCTGCTCTTGTGCTGCAAGTGAGACGTTCAACCCACAGAAATGTTAATTAAATCAGTGAGCATGCTGGTTATCATTATTTCTGCAGCACAACAAGGCAGCGTATTGTAAATCTGAGCCTTGCACAATAATGTGGGCTTCACCGTCTTTCTCATGAGATCATCTTACCCCGTGGCAACGCTGCATGCAGGCAACATACAACGATGACATTACACAACAACAAACCTGTTTTAATCACAAGCAACAGTTACCTGGGGACCAAGTTAAACGCCTACTGGAGGTCACCTTCCAGTTTACCTGGCTGAATGTACCTGAGTTCATTTACTCATACTCTACTTAAGGAAAGTATCTCAAAATTGTTCTTGAGTATTTCCGTTTAATGCTAGTTCTACTGGACAGTTTTTTAGAGGGAAATATTGTTCTATGCTGGAAACTTTATTTTTACCTTGACAATACGTGTAAATTATGAGAAACTCAAGGTCTCACACACTAGCTTATACCGGAGCTCTCGACCGTATCCAACAGCCACCAGAGCAAACTCCATAAGATATGGTCAAAAGTTTTGCATATTTAATAAAATACTGCTTACATAATTCACAAGTTAATGCACCAGTAATAATGATCCAGTGTTGCCTTTATAAACTAAACTACATTTTGCAGCTAATATCTTTGTACTTGGGTTAAATGCAGGATGCTAGTAATGGAGTATTTTTAATGCAACTTGATACTACCTCCACCCCTGCCAGTAAGTGAATTGCCTGCTGCAGTACTCCTCGAATTAACCTTTATTTCAGAATGAGCTGGAACATGTTGCCGGTGAGAGGGAAGTCTGGGTCAGCCTGCTTGGCCTGCTGCCACCGCGACCCGACCCCGAATAAGCGGAGGAAAATGGATGGGTGGATGGGTGTTCTGTCTGGTTGTGCTACAAATGTCTTCTTCATTAAATCCAAATCTTCTCACAGTTTCAAGCAAACAGTCACATATTTGTCTCTTGTGTTTGATTTCACAGTTAACTCAAAGGATTCACTGGGTATTAAAGCAAACATCACGGTGAATGCACTCCGGTGTTGACTCAGGGAGCAGTGCTGTTATCGTAGGAAAGTGCAGAATATGGCTGACCTGAGCAAACAGGGTTTAGGCGTGACTGCCAGGTATATATTGATGCTGTAAGAGCACTGCTAAAAAGGTATAAACCTTTATTTAGAATCACGTTATTGACCCTTAGACATTACCTGTATCATGTCAACTTGGCCCGCCTCACAAATAATCTCTGCTCTGTCTGGTTGTCTGAAACTTTATCTCTTGTCAGGTAGGAGCTTTACAGCTGTTGAGCAATAGACATTGCTGCTAAAATGAAGCCTGTAGACGACTGTAGACTCATGCCACTCTCTGCCAAGTCTGTGATCACGCAGCCTCATGCTGGCAGGGAAGGTGGGCCAACCACACGGAACGTCAAGAGGCCTTTCAACACCAAATGTCTCCCATGCCTCAAGAGCTGTCGGTCACATTGCACTGAACCCGAAACCCCTTTACGACACGCCAGCACTGACCCAAAATATCAGACATCTAAACTACTGTTTACGCTTAGGTTGTGTTACATTAAATGTAATATCCCACTTTCGAATATGGACTTTGAAACAGTTTTAACAGCTGCTGTGCATACTGATGAAACAGCACAATTTACTCTCAACTCTGGAGCCATTTCAAATGAGTGGTTGCAACAATTTGCTCTCCAGTTTCTCAAGATATTAACGTGACTTGGGAGACTAGAGCATGCAGGCAGTCGGAGCTGGATTACAGAATATCAATGTCATGGTTCAAGCTCTTTGAGATTTTGTTGGAGCTTGCAATGAAAAATATGATTTCAAAGCATATATTTGAGGAGATATCACTCATTTAATGTGACAAATATCTAAACAAATAAACTATCATACATAAGTAGCTTTTATATTCTTCTTAAAACCATAGTCTGATAGGAATAAAGATAGATAAGAAGATTGATGCTATTCTCATGTCTGTCCGTTAAAGAAAAGCCCATAGCCAGCAGCTGGTTAGCTTAGGTTAGCTTAACAGGGGGGGGGGGGGACACAGCTACCTCACTGTCCGAAGGGAACCTCTAAAGCGAATAAATATTGTTTGCATGAATTAAACAAAGAAGATGTAACGTTAGAGTTGCTGGTAGGTGAATTTTGTGACCATTGGGCAAAGTCAGGCTAGCCGCTACGTCTTTTTAGTGTTTATGCTAACCTAAGCTAACCAAGCTTCATATTTAACAGACAAAGATGAGAGTGGTATCTATCTCTCTCTCTCTCTTCTCATCTAACTTATGGCAACAAAGTGAATAAGCAGATTACCTAAAATGTTGAGCTTTTGCTTTAAGTTCAGGCTCAATAGTAAATCTAATTAATGTAAATCTGTAGTTTTGGTTGCTGTGTTTTTTTATCCGTTTAAAATGGTGTAATAGAAAACCCTTTTTCTATTCACATTCACTGTCTGGCCAGCTGTCACCAGTTTGGTTGACCCAGTTTATCTAAGTGGGCTGAGGCACACTGACCAGCACAGCCATTTTGATTTGCAGCCATTTGTTTGGCCCATTGTAAGTGGTTGAAAAAGACTGCAGCCTCCCACCACAGGGCTCCTGCAGCACGTTCTATGCAAACTCTTTTAAACCGCGGTGTGATTGCTGCTGTTGGTCAGAGCAGCACTAGTTTGTTTGACCATGTTTGCCCTCCACTCTTTTCCTGGATGCCCTTCATCACGCACAATCTCTTCATCACCGCTGTGCCTTTGAGGGGGGGAAAAAAAAAAACCATTGCGACCGGATTGGCTGCTTGTGGTGGAGCTGTTGCTAAGGGGAGGGTTTCACTCAGTGATGGATAGATGTGGCAGCTGGCGAGGGCCCGTTGGAGCAACATATATATCAATTTAATGTTTCATTAACACCGTACTGCATCATGTTTACTGTGACAAAGCTGAAGAAATATGTGATCAATATCATCCAAATCTAGACGAATTCATGCAGGTTTTGAAGATCATGTGCCGTCTGGTTTAATCAAGTTGATTGTGTCACCTACATCAAGTCTTATCACTTCTGCCGAGTCAATGCACTTTACAGCTTTTATAACCCTCCCAGTTCGCATCATTTGAGATGATTAGTGGACGGTAAATGTCAACAAAATTAGATTAAGTTTGGTCAATAAATCAACTGTGCCGAGGGATTTGTTAACACTTTGTAACGTGTAGAACAGCCACAATTTAATTTTGTTGTCTTTATTAAAAACAAAAAAAAACAAAAAAAAAACTCATCTGTGAAGAAACTTGTACAAAACAATTCAAAAGTACAAGAATTTGGTTTGTAGCCATTTTCTAAGATTGAAACCACAGTTAGACGAGTGTTAAAATTATTGGTGCTAAAATGCATCAAAATATTTGGGCAAAAGCCCCAAATAAATATTTGCTTTACTGCACCCTGAAGGTCAAACAAGCTGCAGGAGAGTTGTATTTTAGCACAACTGCAATAAAACAGTGAACCAAAATGTGTTTAGCTAACAAATTCGGCTTTAGAGCCACGACATCTTTAAATAGTCTCCTTTAGGTAAATCCTCAGCAAAGCACTTTAAAGCCCTTTCATTATATAAGCTGTTAACTCGCCCTACATAAGGAACAGCAAGTCAAGTAACTAGCTTACATCTTAATGCATTATTACACATTCCTGTGCAGCCTTCGGCACTGAAGAGAAATGTTTTCTAACTGAGCCGCAAGACCCCCCCCCCCCCAACATCCTTCCTGTTCGCAGTGACAAACAAAGCAAATAAAGTTTCAAATTATTTATTTCAGTTTTACCATTTCAATATAAAATTTGAAATATCCAAGGACAAACAAATGAATAATTTCATCATAATACCTTGATAAACCATTTAAGCAGTCATACAACAGGGAGCAACTGAACAGGGCATGAGGGTATAAAAAGAAAAGAAGTCAAGGCACACCATGTTACAGTAATACCAAGAGGAAAGATTTAAAAACCTCCGCAGGTTTAAGAGCCCTTCGGCTCAGCGTTAATTATATTTTTGAAAAGGAGGGACAGAATAACCAGCATTCAGTTTCTCCTACAGTCAGAAACCTTTTTATTCACAATCTGGTGACCATTTCATGTTCAAACTAGAAATGCAAGGACAAAAGGGAGGGCAAATTCCTCCATAAACCAGCGTGGCCTTATGGAACAGATTCAATAAACCTCAGCCACACAAAGCATCCACTCTGCACCGAGACAGGCAGAGGGACACGTGCGGGCGTCACTGGTTCCAGGTATGTTTTGGTCGGGAAGGTTTGAGAGACGTCGCCCTGGTCAGTTCACTGACCATTGAGATCTATCAGGAAGAGATGGGGGGG